AAACAATCCGCCCGCCTCAGCCTCCCAGAGTGCTAGGATTACAGGCGTGAGCGACCGCGCCTGGCCGCCATTCTTTTTTTAATAAACACAATGGTAAGAGACATATAGGTAGTAAAGAACAGTTACATTTAAAAGAAATAAAAGTGAAACAGCCAAGAACTCGAATTATTCCAAGATTCAAGGATACCTGTATCCATTTAGTCAACACAGAGAACATGACTTTTTATTATAAAGCAGTATGAAAAAACAAGTTATTTACAATTATGAGTTCTTTACTACTTTCAAGTGTTCTTCAACTATCTACCTTCAGTAATTAGTCCTTAAAGGGGCCACTAGCTAAAAATTCAAATCTCAATATATCCAAATAGGAAATATTCTTAAGTTATGTTGTGCTTTATTAATTTATGCTTTTATCTTTATGTACTGTTGGTCATAAAAAACTGAAGTGTCATTATTAATAAATAATGTCAATGTAAAAATCACTAAATATGAAGAGACATGACACTTTACTTATTCCACTTGACATTCAAGTCTCCAGCATCTTCCAAAGTAGAGAAATTACAGTCTAAAACCAATTAGAGAATACCTGAATAAGTTTATCATATAATTTATAATATGGTTAGAAATAAATAAATTATTTAATTTGGGAAAAGTATGACAACATGTTCAATAGATGTTTCTGGAATCCATAAACTGCTTAAGGCCCATCAATAAAGGAAAAAAAAGGGTGATTTTCAGGATGAAGCAGTACACTGGATCCAGAGTAATACTGCACACATGACTTATACACCCCACTTATTTCCATAACTTAAATGATTCATTAGTTTTCAAAACAGAACTTCCTTTTCTTAGATTCAGCCTTACCTTTAATTTCTGATAATGAGGAAGGCTGCTGCAATGAGTATTCTTTGCAACTTCTTCGTTTGTATAAAAGAGTGAACACAGCTTACAGTAAAACCCTGTTTTAGGTATCACATAGTCTATACCTAGAAACACAAACATACATTCTTACAAATTAAGTCAACTGAAGGTTTTATTTAGTATTCTCAAATCTTTTTACCCGTCAATATATTTTAAATGAGACATTATTTGTAAGAAGTCCAATATGGCCTAACCTAAAAACAAAACCATGACATTGTTTGTACTTAACTGATATTTAAGGTCCGACCTAATTGTACTTTTTAAGACAGAAATATAACAGAAAAACAAAACAAAAAACAACATGCAATTTGTAGAAAACTTTGCGAGGAGAAAAAACATATTGTGAAATGGTAACACAAAATAACACAAAATCAGGAAACATGGGAAACAGGAAAAGAGAATAGCATGTCAATTGAAGTTTAAAATTATTCCCTACAGAAATAAAGCTAATTTAAAATGCTATCAGAGCTTATATAAACCCAATTTTAAACTCCTATTTTATTAAGAGTTTGCTGTAGAGGGTGGAGAAGGGTGAACAAAGACTTAAATCTCACCAACAGGAACGTTGGGTTGATATGGTCCAATTCTATACTCATCTGGGATTGTATAGTCCTCCTTGTTTTCATCACTTTGTCCATCTGCATTTTCACTTGTATCTTTGCTGGGATCATCAGCATTCTCAGCAGATTCAGCACCTGGTTCTGTGTTTTCCTCATTTTTAATTCCATTTTCCAACGCTGCTTCGTTTTCTTGATCAAGTTCCTCGATCTTGTCCACCTTAATTTCAACCAAACCATCATCATTTTTGTCACCAGATTTAAATGCCATGCCCGATTTACGAAGTTTCTGAAGTTCCGAATCTTCCTCATCACCAACCTCATCTAGAGTGACAAAACCTTCCATACTCCCTGGGAAACGACGCTGTTAAGAAAGACAAATTTACTCTGCAACAATTATCCTGCAGCATCCCTTCCATTTACTTTACTTGAAGGGAAAGGGATAGCGTCTTTGTCTTTATTAATTCTCTCTAAATACTGATTTTTTCCTTTGTCCTCTAAAATCACTTTGATTTAAAAAACAATTTAGTTTGTTTTAAAACTAAATAATGGAAGACCTGTCTCACACAAAGAGGAGAAAGTAAATGAGACAAGGATATTCATATTTTACACTTTCTGAGACTAATTATGCTGCTAGGGATATGTGTAAAAGAACTTGATTTGATAAAAGTAGTTATGTCCTTTGCAAGAGACGGTATCTTATGATAACTCTTGTTTAGAGAAAACACGCAGAGTGAAATAATGTAATGGTTAAGAAATCAGGCTCTGGAGCATGACTGCCTAGGTTTAAATTTTGGCTCTGTCACTTACAAATAGTAAGAACTAGACTGAGTTATTAAACTTCTCCATACTTCAATTTCATTTATGGAATGGGAATAACAATGGCACTTAACTGCATATAATTATTGCAAGGATTACATTAATAAATATATAAAGAGCTAAGATAGGATTTATGACACGTAATAAATGCCACTGTCAATAACTATTGGCTCTTACAAGTGTAAACATATTATACAACAATCATCCACTCCAGTCAGAAAAATACAGTAAGTTATTTTTGACCAAGCCATCAAAACCTGGAGGTAAATATTAGTTTTCAAATAGCTGAATGTTGCTTAAAAGGAACCAATAGAATAAGATGGCAAAACTCTCATTTTACTCTACATTTCAAGAGCCATTTAACATTAAAGGGATTGCTTCAAAGGCATTTTTTAATGTCCGAATCTTTAAGATAGGTAGTCAACACAACATGGGTCTTTTGTTTTACTATTCTTTATACCATGTATTTTTATATTTATATTCACCTTATATGTGCTTGTAAATGACTTATATGTGTTCTAATAAAATTGTTTTCAAAAGTATTAAAATACCTGACCACGCCTACATTTCTCAAATAGAAAAAGCTCTTCAAATTCAATAATTTTGGAATTAGTGGCAAAACGTTTTAAGTATCTTGGGTCAGTTAACTTACTACAAACTCATACCCCATCTATTAAAAATATAAGCTGTACTATAAGGCTACCTACTTATACAATACCATTACACTACAGAAGCAAATGTTGTTTAAGTCCTTTTCCTTCAATACTAAAGTTTCTTTTTTGTTTAAGTTGACTTTATTTTTAAGCAACTATAATAAAATGTCCTATTTAATCTATTTATTGCAGAGTTTAGATTTAAATGTTTATATTTTGGTTCATATATGATCACTTTTCTAGTAATTCTCCTTATCTGCAAGAGTAATTAATTTGAAACACTCATCTGATCTAGTATTCTATTAAAAGTTAATATAAGATTTTCCTTTACCTTTTTAAGCTTTTTCTTTGCTGCTGCTGAAGTACTTGGATCTTTTTTCACAGCTTTATCCGAAGGCTCCTTTTTCCCCTCAGAAGTTACATCGCCTAAATTAGCAAGATCAGTCTCATCTCCCACTGAACTGCCACTTTCTAATAACGCTGCTGCTTCTTCTTCATCTACGAGTAGCTCATCTTCAGATTCAAGAAGCATATTGGGTTCCTGCTCTGTCTGGTCATCCTTGGTATCTTTCTCACCATCTTCACCTGACTTCTCTTCTTGTTCTTTACCTTCGGTTGCACTTTCAGTCTTCTGGGACCCATCAGTTTTGGATTTCTTATCACTTGGAGATTCTTTGCCATCTGGAGAGTAAGATCTTTTTCTGGAATCAAAAAGACACACAATTATTCTGGGTTTGAAAAATAAAAATCTAATATACCAGTGTATATAAACACACACAAAATGAAATTACCGTGATTTATCTTTTTTCAGTAAGTCAATGCCTCTATTGGGAATCTAGAAGACAAAAGTTTTGTGGAAGTTAAATACATTAATTTGCAGAATATATAATTATCCAAGGAATAATTGGTGACCATCCCTTAAATAGTCAACTCAGCTTATCCCTTTAAGCATACCCAAGAACTTAAGCTGTCTATAGTCAAAAGTTTATCAATCACCATACCAACAGAGAAGTAGACAATAAACTTTGGTAGTGGAACTCTGTTAAAATCTTAAATATACAAAAGCACTGGGAGTCTCCCTTACAGAACACCAATTTAAAAACTTCGGCCACTAGAAGACCAAAAAAGGGTTCTTTTTAAATAACATACTTCTCTCAATAGGTTTATCTCTTTCAATAAACCTGTATTTCAATAATCATATTTTTAACATATAGAAATGTTTATAAGAATGTTGTGGTTTGAAATATGTGAAAAGCTTTTAAATGATGACAGACAAGTACTACATACCCTCAGTACCAGTTTTTTGTATTTCTCAGACAGGTCAACCTTTACACATCTCCCCTGAAACCAAAGGGCTTTCTTCAAACAATGGTCAACCATTGCCATTGCATCTTCTCTTGTCTCCATTTCGATGAAGGCCTTAAAAAGAAAATTGCAATAATGGTACTATTTTTCACAGAATTGTATTAAAACTCCAGTGTTTACTATTTATTCTATATACTTGTTAGGAAAATCCAACCTTTAGCACAGCGATACTGGTAAGAGTTTAAGGACACTGAATAATATAAGGACAAGGTGTCAGATATACAAAGTCCCCAAGAATCACTGCAGCAACAAACATTAAACCACCTATATATACTCCTTCTGAAAGTAAGTAAGAAGCACAGCTGGGTGAGGTGGCCTGTAATCCTAGGACACTGGGGGGCCCAGGCAGGAGGATTGTTTGAGCTCAGGAGTTCAACCCTGTCTCTACAAAAAAACAGAAAAAAATTAGCTGGGTGTGGTGGGGTGCACCTGTAGTCCCAACTACTCGGGAGGTTGAGGCAGGAAGTTTGAGCCCAGGAGTTTAAGGTTGCAATGAGCTACAGTGATGCCACTGTACTCTAGCTGGGGTGACAGAGGGAGACTCTGTCTCAAAAAAAAAAAAAAAAAGACAATAAGTTTATTGGACTATTAGACATTAATAAAAATACAAGAAAAATAAAAGCATAGAAGGACACAAACTTTAAATGCTGAGTTACAAAAGTGTTTAACGAAAGAAGAAAGAAAAGATGCTCTCCTTTCTCCAAATTTTCAAAATGTTTTTTTTTGAGACAGAGTCTCACTCTGTTGCCCTGGCTAGAGTGAGTGCCGTGGCGTCAGCCTAGCTCACAGCAACCTCAAACTCCTGGGCTCAAGCAACCCTCCTGCCTCAGCCTCCCGAGTAGTTGGGACTACAGGCATGCGCCACCATGCCCAGCTAATTTTTTCTACATATTTTTAGTTGTCCAGATAATTTCTTTCTATTTTTTTTAGTAGAGACGGGGTCTCGCTCTTGCTCAGGCTGGTCTCGAACTTCCGAGCTCAAACAATCTGCCCGCCTTGGCCTCCCAGAGTGCTAGGATTACAGGCGTGAGCCACCGTGCCCAGTCAAATTTTCGAAATTTCAAGTATGAGATAATGTAATTCACCTATTAAATTCACAGATTTTGAAGTCTGAAATATCCAGTGTTTGCAAAGTACTCTCAAACAATGCTGGTGGAAATATAAATTGGTGTAACCTTGCTGAAGAGCAATTTGGCAAAATCAAAGTAAAGAAAGCAAGTATCAGGATTCAGAATTAAATAGTGCTACTAGCCAGGGTAAAAGACCTTTACTTTCTACTTTTTAGTATTTATTCAATCCTTTACTATGAGCCATCTACTGAAACTTAAAAAAAAGACAACGAAAAAACACCCCAAACAGTTAACAACAATAAAAAAAAACCATTCATCATTGTATGGGCTAAGAAAATTTACCTCTAAGGTAAAGAAAATTACTCCCCCTTGCTTTCCTCACTAACATGAGGATATACTGAAAAATCTTAAAGCACTTTGAGAAATTTATCTTTTTCAAAACCTCCATATATAAATTACCTGACTCTTCATTCTCATCAATATATAATTCTTTATTTTTCCGTAAGGCTCAGCAAGCTTGAGGACAGCACTGTCAGAATAGCCAGAATGGGGTAAATTGCTGAGATGTATCACACGTCCAAGCTCTTGCTTTTGATCGAACTTCTGATCTGGCTTCCCTTCGGGTTTCTTTAATAAACAAAAAAGGGGTGGGTATACTGTAATTAATAGTCAATAGTTAAGAATATTCTAGATTTTAGCAACAATTTGCTAAATAACCAAAGTTAAAAAACATTTAAATGATGTATTAAAAGTGATATAAAACATGAACAAAAAAATAGGTATTACCTTTATTCTTTTATACTTCTGAGATAAATGAACTCTCACTGGCTTGCCAAATACTAATGCTGGTGTGGTTGTATAATAATCCACTGCAGCCTGAGCATCCTCTGTGGTTGCCATTTCAATAAAAGCCTGTAAATGTATAAAAAAGTATTTCTAAAACACACTGGCCCAAATCTTTCGAGATAATAGATTTAATCATTAAACTGAAAGTATTTTTAAGAACTGAAAAACAAAAAACCAATGTTGCCAATTTGCTATTTTATTAAAAAGCCACCTCAGATTATATTCATGCTTCTAAATTATATTATCATTTATTATGCCTATTAGATTGAAATAATGACTTGGCACCATTTTGTTATAGATCTGAAATGGCTTTTCAAAGAATTTTCCTTTTACAGCTCTTATAGTAGTATGATAATAAAGACAATTCCTACTTCAGGACCACAATTTATAAAGATAATGATAATCCGCCAGTACTGGAATATTATTGACATATATAAACTATTGGCTTTTTCCTCTATTACACTTCATACTGATGATTTAAGATTCCATTAATTCCTTTTCTAATACAAAATCATTTAATCTCTTTAGTAAATATATATTAGTAAAATGAATACATAATACCCTTCTTTCAACTCATACCTCATTAATTTTATTTAGAATCAAATGATTTGAAATGACTCCAAATGGTTCCACAAGCTGTAACAATTGGTATCTCAAGTTTTTCCCTCGTTGAAAATCCATGATGTGAACAACTCGGCTAGTTTCCTATCGGATAGGAAGAAACCAAGTTATTAAAAGTCTATTTAAAACAATATGAAACAGGTTATGCATCAGAACTTTCATAGTCTACAATTAACCAGAAGAGAGTTAAGTAGTTCAAATATTAACTCATAACTACGCACAGCAAGTCAAATTTCACTGGGGTAAATTCTTTCTGACTATATCCAAATAGTTATACTATTTCAAAGTTTCAGAAGATAATCTCTACACTGGTTTTTAAATTGAATACTGTGTACATAACTGGACAGCAAAGTTTCTAAGATGCTGAATCAAGGTGAGATCTCTAGACCACAGGCATATAAAGATTAAATTTTGAACTATTATCAAAGCCATACAAAACCCCGATTGTTTTCAAACTACAGCAGTGTTCCTAAAGATCACGATAAAGACTTAATCAGTAAGGACTTAAGTCAAATCACATTCCCCAAAACTGTAAATATGGGAAAAGCAAGGGCTGTATTACTGACCACTCTGCCTTTCTGCATGTGTCTAGGTCCTTGCAGGTTCCCATTTCCAGCACCTTTATGGGAGGAAAAATATTTTTTTCAGTCTTTTTAAATAAATATACTTGCTATAAAGAAGCTATTTTAATTGAAAAATGGACATCTTTCAAACACAAATGAAAAGGTTATTGCCGTATCTTTTCATGCAATGTTATTTTTCAGTGACATTTGAATGAGCCTTCTTTTGCCTATAATCATTGCATTTAATTTTTACGGTAAAACCTATCAGGGAAAAGTGACATGAATTTTGTATAATCACCCAGATTTCCTCTTGGTCCAACTGCTGGTCCCCCAAGATGAAATGAGGGAGGTGGAGGTCCCAGGATTCCTGGGGCTGGGTTTGTAGATTGCTGCAACATGAAGGGATCACCCCTAGTAATATGAAGACATAAAACATAAAGTATGACAAAAAGTCCATCAGAAATAATTAAGATTTTATTGTTAAAGAACCTCTTGCATGACTGTGACCACTTCACTATTTCAGGGCATCTATGTGTCAGGTAACTAGGCAAAAATCTAAATTAACAATAAAAGAATAAAAATTACTATATAAAATATTTGCTAAAAATTTTGTCAACTACAGTGAATTTTATCAAACCTCATTTTTGTAAAGAAATTCCAAAAATGTTTTTATTTATGAAATGTTCAATGTTAAACCTGAATCTGTACATTGACCTCCTTTACAAACAGTAGCTTAAAAAAATTTTTTAACTTACATTGTGTACAATCAATTACATTCCGTACATTGATCTCCTTTACAAACAGTAGCTTAAAAAATTTTAACTTACATTGTGTGTCCTGTATCATTGTCAGGATTCCATTCTGGGTAGCTTTAAAAAGACCAGAAAATTAACTTTAAAATAAACCTGTCCTTTTCACAAAGTAGCCTCGTTTGGCCTCTAAAATAGAGATCATTTATTAGTAAAGTTATCTGAGAGTTTACATGTTAGAAATATTAGTTTCAAAGCATGTCCTATAGATACTTCAGAAGAAAAAATTCAGAAATTCAAAATAATCCAAATTAATGAGAATAAACTTTTGTATTGCTTGCAAATGTAGGTAATATATGTTGAAATTAAATTTTTCCTATATTTGTTAAATCTTAAGGAGGAAAAGTGTTGCATAAGGAATTAGAAATGTGGATGACATAGAAACAAGAACAGACCACAGATTTTCCTTCAATATTAAATACCAAGAACAGAGTTGCATTGTGACATTAGAAAGAAAGGATAGCCCTAACAGAGTTAGGTATATGTGAAAACTGCAATTCCAGTGAACAATGGGACAGTGTGCTGCTTGTGCAGGGAGTTTCTTTAGGAATTCCATTTCATGGTAGCAGCTTAAACTCAGAACCAAAGGCATCTCAAAAGCAAAAAATACGTTATTAAGGATTTTGCTTCACAACTAATTAGATTCTTTTAATGACCCCTTCCCTCTCTTTTCTCTATCTTCTGTATTTTTAGAGCATGTTATTATTTAAAATGCTATTATGAATCCATTCTACATATCAAATGTTATCTTTCACTAAGCCTATTACAAATTATTTCAATTTGTATAAAAAAAGACCAATGCGTATTTATCCTAGAAATAATATTAAATAACAAAGTACTGCTATCACTGCATCTAATATTCAATATAAGGTTTCCAGATCTAAACATTTTATTTGTAATTAGTATTGCCCAGACAGTATCAACTATGTGATAATAACATTGTGGATATTACAAGTAAATGACGAACTCCCAAAGACCAATAATGGCTGTTTCTGATTCACGATAAGGATGCTTTAAAGGTATTTCAAACTCCTACATTTCAAGAAGAAGCTGGCATCGACGACTGTGACTTGCTCCATTGATATGTTGACTCCACTCCTGCAGCAAAGTAAATTAGTAGAATTAACAAAAATAAAGCTAAAATATTTTCATCTGAACCATTCAAACTCTAGGATGTTAATGTCTATGCAGTACCATAGGCTATACAAACACCTGCCCATTCATTAAATCACACTGATTTAATTTAAAGCTATTTCTCTGAATCCTTGAAGCTTGATCCTGCCCTCAAATACGCTATGCACATTCTTGGAAAAACTGGATAACTTGGTCAACACACTTAGAGACTTGACAAGGAAAAGATAAAGAGTTAATAAAGATCAAGAGTAGTAAGTGACCTTGAGATCAGCAAGGCATATTAATTTCTATGACAGACCATACTATGGACCACTGTATATTAATAGAAGTGGCATTTTATAGCACTCTAAATGGTAAAATATCCATGTTTATATCTACTCTTCTAGGAAATATATGCTATAAATGTGAACGATTAGTTAAAAATAGAATCTTTAATTTAATTCAGCCCGTGAGGCATTTTCAAGCGTACTACCTACTAAATATGTAGTGAAAAATGCACCATGATTAGCTCGGCCATAGAAAGCTAACAATTCAACAGGAATGGCTTATCTAGAAAACGATCTCCATTTATCAAAATATTAAGCTCCCACTGTATTTTCCCAAAATAAAGAAGTAAATTTAAGGAATGCCTGCTTCCAAATTTCAGGGAGGGAAATATTACATTTTGCCAATATCTGTGCCTTTGTGGTTTATTTTGAATTTGAAGAAATTAACTTTATTTTATTCAAACACATTCTCCTGTCTGTAGGAAAAGAAATCCAAATATAAATGAGTTAACTGTTTAGGCAATATAAGAAAGAGGAGCTGGGGAAAGTAGGCTCTGCTGCTAGGTTGCCTATGTTACACTCCCCAAATGTATATTATTAGATGTGAATCTTTGGATCACATTATTTAAATTCACTGGGAAAATATTCTCATAGAGTTGTGAAAAGCAAATGAGTTAAAGAGTCTGCTTATCAGACTCTTGCCAGGCACACGGTAAGTGCTCAAACAAAACAAAACACCCTCCCCACAAACTGCTGCATATATTGCACTGTTTCGGAATTCCTGCTTTACAACTATTATTGGTGCTTCACGAATTGAGGCAACTTCTGTAAAAACCCACACTACCTAATACATCTGGATATAAAACATGGCTAGGCAATGTGTTTTTAAAGGGTGGGGGGTGTCTCACTTAGAGCTGGACTAAAATAAGGCACAAGATACTCCTTTTTGAAAAGCTTGGTATTTTATAAAAGAATGGTATTTTAGAAATGAGATCCTAACTTTGGAAAAACTGATTTATACTATAGCAGTTCACATACATTCCTATGTCCTGACAGAATTAACTAAAATCCCGTGAAAGAACTAAGATGGAATACATCCAAACAGAATGGTATTTCCTTAGAATGTGGGGAGCTATCAAATACTATTCCCATGTTTTTAAAGCTAGATATATATTTTTTTTAATAATGGCTAACAGGCTGGGCACGGTGGCTCACACCTGTGATCCCAGTGCTTTGGGAAGCCAAGGTGGGAGAATCGATTGAGCCCAGAAGTCAAGACCAGCCAAACAGCCGGGGCAACATAGCGACCGTAGACTTGTTGGTGACCACTTTTAAAATGGCTATAAGCAATAACAGCCATAGGTAAAGTCCACAAAATTCAAAAGGATTAAACAAATTAAACATTAACTTAGACTTTTCTGAACTAAAAAACTTGCAGAATTTATTAAAAATATCCTTAAGTAGTAGTGTTTTGGCAAAGGAAATAAATGTCATCCTATTAGGCATGCTTCTAATTCACAGGAGAGTCAAAGGGTACACAGCTGAACAGAAATTATATCCAATTCCCCATGTTCTTTAAAGATTCAAACTTATGGTAAAAGCGTGTCTCGTCTTTTAAAGTGTTAAAAGGAAGGCCAAGATGAGAAAAATCAGTCATTTACCTCCCAAACCCACTTATTACTAATCTGTACTACTATACCTGATCTCTTAATGTTTGGTTTATGGTAAGGACTAAGCGAAAGGGTTTTTAACACCTACATCCTTGGATTCTAAGCTGAAGTAACTCTCATGTTAGATTAATAAAGAATAAGGATTCACTTTTTGAACTGAGAAGTTGCTGTAAGAAAACTACATTCACTTTGATGTATTTGAGCTACCTTAATTTATATAAACAAAGAGTAATTTAGGAAGCACTTCCAGAATGGCAGAATAAAGAATAATTTATGGGCTTTTAGAGTAATACTAAAAGAAAAAATATAAACTCAAGTGACAAGACAGCCAAAGGGCTGTAGTGGGGAATTTTAAGTGAAAAGAACCTGAGGAAAGTTTGAGATTGTGCAGAAAAGCAACTTGACGTTCTAAAATTACCTAGAAAGAAATAAAAGCGACACCATCACTTAAAGGCACCTAAAAATATCAAAAATGATACTCCATGATGACAAATTAGATGTTTTCCACCTAAGTTTATTTCATAGTAAGAAGAACTTTTGATCATGTAGACTATTTAACATTACCACTAACTGAAAAGAACAGATTTTCCAAGTTATGCAGCAATACCAGAGAGCAGGATTAAATGTTTAAAAAATTTTCATTATCTACTTCCACCACAGGAATTTTCTATAAAGGTGTTTCTGTATCAGTTATAAAATGAGAAGAGTCCACTGCCAAAGTGAAATTTTAATTATTTTTTTTCAATAATGCACATACATAGAAAACATGTTAGGACAGCTAGAAATTTTAAAAAATTCATGAATTTAAACTTCTTAAAATTGGTCCAATTTAAAAATATCATAAATTTTGTAAACCAAACAAATAAAAGGCCTCTAAAATAGTTCTTAAATGTACTTAGTATTTTAATGCAATACCAAAAGTAGCTAGAACCTAAGCATTTTTACAGGCTGAAAGTATCTCTTATACTAGGGTAGGGTATCTTACTCTTGAATCCAGCGTTTCATCAAATATTTAAAAACTGCTCTTTTGTTAATTTAGATCCACTTATTAGCTTTCTTCAGGAACTTGAAAGCAGTAAAAGTTGAATAATCATATACAAAAAACAAACTTTTCTCTGATGTAAGTCCTCTCATGGTTTCCTTTTGTGTTCCTTTATGATGTCCCAATAGCTTTATGACTCCAGTAGTAAAGATTTTAACTCCCTTAAAATCACTTTCATTTGAGACACTGTAACTATCTATTTTCCTGAGAATTTAGAGATCCTTTCTGAGCACATTGGCCATACTGCCATTTCTACTACTATTTCTTTATAAACGGGCAAGAAGTAACAAAGAAAAAATTGGAGTCACCAAAGTTTAATGGACTTTTCATTTTATCAATTCACACCAGACCTAAAACCTGAAGTTTAATATTGAACAAAAACATAAATTCCATGATATATTAAACATATCCAACAAATTTAGAAAAAGGTAACAAGCAAAACATCTACCAATTAAAACTTGCTGACTTTTATGAGTTTGGGATTCTATTTCTTAAATGAAAATAAATCTATAAACCTAAGTTTAGCATTTGTTAATTTACTTTGGTATGGATTAGAGAGTAACTGATATCCCAACATAGAAAAGGGAGTGATTGGTAATACTCTTTAACAGAATACTAAAAACAAAACTCTAAGGATATGATTTAGTCTACTAAAAAATACTCACTAAAAAATGCATTATCAAAGGAATAGATATGAAAATGACCCTTCCAGATGTTACTGTAAAGAAAAACCCATGACAGTAACCATCAAATCAATTTCATGGCAGCAACTTGTTCCAGTTAAGTAGAATAACTATATAGTACATCAGGAAAAATAGATGGTCACACATTACAGATCAACCTAATGGGGTGGTATATTGTTGACTTCTTGTCAACTGCACTGTATGCTGGGAAAAAAAACCAGTGAGAACGAATAACACTGAAAAAGTTGAAAGAGAAGGGACAATGTATTTTAAAGGGCATTTTGAAAAAGTTCCCATTTTGCCAGATGTGATAATTAAAGCAAAGGAGAATTAGATTTTTTTTTTTCAAATGACTATACCAGAAGTCTAAGCCTAACTCAGAAAAAGAATTTGTTTACGAGGAACATAGAGCAGGATACTATAGCAGTTGATTTGTCCAAGTCTCTAAAGGGATAGATGCAATATGGGATAATAAAAAGTGAGTTCTGAAGTATGTTTAAGAAAGTTGTGGAAAAGGAGAAAAAAAATGATGAAAAATTTCAGTCACAGCATGAGAGTTTGTGTTAAAGGGAAATTAAAAAAGGAAGAATGAACTAATCTAAAATATGAAACATACTGAAACAAACACCAGGGCTCTACATTAACTTTCCCTGTAGCCACAGATAAGGAAAAAAAGAGAATTGTTCAAGAATACATCTTTACTACATACAAATCAGCAATCAAGACAGATGGAGAGCTGAAATCTAGCATCCTGAATGGTAGAGCACATTGACTGCAAAAAAAAAAAAAAATACTTAAAACAATTCAACAAGCAGACAAAAAACCTGCTTAAATATATGATTAAGAAGAACATATTGATGCCAAAAACCAACAAGATAATCCCAGTGGATGACAGCTTTGTGGCCAGAAGTAATCTAGGCAGATTGTATTAATGTAAAGCCCTGGTTTAAAACGCTCAAAAACAATTACCTTCCAAATAAAGTGTTCTCAAAAGTAAAAAATTCTCGATCAACTCAGTGTCATCAGACTACAGAATTAGAGTAAAAGATATAGGTAAATACAGAATAGGCACTACAATGTAAAAGAAATTAGAAGCATCTGTAGCATTAACTCACCTTATTAGAATGAACTGGCAAATCACATATAGAGCACAGATGGGGATAACCCTTCGGTAAGAGTCCATGGAAGTCTTCAATATTGCTACTTGGAGGAGCGCCCCTCTTTTTCTCAAAGAGAGATCTCTCTTGTAAGGGGCCAGGACCACGTCCCATTCTCTCATACTCACTGTCAAATTTATGATAGTTATGCGAGGTCTCACCAAAAAAAGAATCATCCCTACACCTTTCTCCATCTCTTAATCTGTCATCTTCATAATCCATTCTGTCATAATAACCAGATTCTTGAGAACGACTTCCATGGTCATAATCAAGCACTGGGTTGAGACTAGGACCACGATCATCAAAACTATCTCTTCTAAAGTGCCTTTTTTCTTCCCAATCATCCCTAGGTACTCTGTATGGTGGCTCCCGTGTAGCAGATCTGCCATCTCTACCATAACTCAATGTAGGGCCTTCTTCAGTTCTCCTCCTTTTAAGCTGCAGAAGGATTTGGGGCAAATTCTCAGGAGTAATCTTGTCCTCTGGATAACGACTCAGTTCATCTAAGTCTCTAGCAGACAAACCAAAGCTGGCCAAAATGTTACTGGCCTGGTCTGCATCTCCACGGTGTTGAGAAGATAAAGGGAGTGGACCTCTACTTCCAATGTTAAATATAGACTGCAAATTATGGGAAGAAGTACTAGCAGAAGACAGTGCACTATGAGCTCCTTGTTGATTCAATGAAGAACTCATTCCAAGATTCATTAAACTAGCAAGGCGTGCAGTACCCTGGTTCATCCTTCCAAGAGATGCTGGCATACTTAAAGACTGGGTAGCAGCAGCAAGAAGGCCTATTCCTGCCGCAGACAGGTCACGCCCATGACCCTGTGAGTCCCTACCGAGAGATGACTGCTGGAATGACTTGGACATTGTAGAACTATCTCTTGTCTATTTTATAGATTTAAAAAAAAATTTTTTTTAAAAGACGGCCAAAAAGAAAGCTCAAACTAGAAAGCTAGGTTAACTTTGCTTCAAAAAAATGGTAACGCCAAGAAAAAGGATCAATAAGGACTGCAGAATCTTCTTCAAGCTGAGAACCAGCAGACAACTCTGTAGAAAAATAAGCAATTTTAGTCATAAATCCCTTTAAGTAGATGCCGTTTTTTTAAGAAAAAAAACCTTATGCATCATGTTGATTAAAAAAAACCATTTAAGATCTCAAACTTACGAGGAATTTATTACATATCTTAAACAGATTTCAGATGTATGCAGAGCCTGCATATAGATATTTAAAAAGTAGTCTTTCACACTAAAGTTTAACTATTAAAGGGAATTTCATACTGAGTTTAAAAACATTTAAATTGAAGGGTTAGATGTCTGAGCACATCAAAATTTCAGTAAAAATACAGATGGGTTTCTTCCTTTAGAAGAATAAAAATACACCCTACAGTATGATGCTTAAGTTCCAGAAGACTAAAAACAAAAAATCAAGGTCAGCAAGTCAAAGATGAATCAGTTGTATTGTGCTTTGGAAAATGAGACCTATTATCACTATCAGAAAGAACCAAGTAAAATCAAAAGTAAATGAAGGTTAGGTGTCAAGTACCTAGTATAAGATCTAAGACCAAACATAATAGCTGAGACCTTTATGCAGCAAAATCAATTTGAGGTGAAGACAGATGTGAATAAGAAAAATAAGTCATTTCCTACAGTTTTTAAGGATTTCTGCCCAAATTTAAGTCATACAACTAACTGCCTTCTTACTGACCATCCTACATCAGGCAGTACTTACTTGGTATCTAATCTTACAAGGTAAGGAGAACTAACTCTGGTCAGTACAGAAATAGGAGCACTCCTAAGGAAAAAAACCTAGGTACAGTAAATACAGGTATGATTTAAAGAAGGGAAATTTCCCAAGTTACATCCACCAGTACTCATTTAATGCTCAGGGTTACAACACATCTAGAGCTCAAAACAGGTAAATATGAAAATGAGATCTCATTACACACATTCCTGTAAACTTTTCATAAGAATAACCCAATCACCTGGCGAATTTAAGTTCTAAAAATTAAGAGCCCCCAAGATGTATTTCTGGATGAAATTATCTTCATTTTTTCCTTAAATCATTAGCATTGTGCCTCAGAAACTGTCACATAAGAATTTGCAAAAAATTTACATGAGTCTCACAAAATATTCATTAAAAGATGTACACAACAAACGTCCTTGGTGAAACAATTTTATAATCACAGCTACATACAGAGGTAAATCGGAAGTTGTTTGCTACAGAATTTTATTATAAGGCATTGCTAAGTTTTGTATGTCTGATCATTAATACACCTAAGCACTACTAGTTTAACATGTTAAACTTTATTACAGTAAAAACTAGACAATATTCAATACGTACAAGTCTATTATGGGACCAATTCCACAAATGATAGATTAAAGCAAGGATATACTAGACGAATACAGTGGCTGAGGAAGTATTAAAAAAGTTACAGGCAAGAAAGATTTAGATATAATAATGTTAAAAAAGACACATAAACACTATCAGAGGTGGCTGGAGTTACAGAAGATGTTTTTGCACACCAAGAAAGATGAATTTGAGACACCAAAGAAACTAGTTCTAGATGAGATCCACTATGTAAACTACTTAAGCTTTAAGATAAGACTAATAAAGACAAGTTGATTTCTTTGGATGAAAGTTTCTTTGAAATGTCTTATAAATGCCACAGAATGGAGGTTGAAATGCTATGTAAACATTGGTGGTCCCCGTAGCTTTTTATCTTTGTTTACATATCTGGCTCACCTGACCCTAAATTTTCACATGTATTTTATTTTTTAAAAAGTCAAAACCTTTAGAGGATTTTTAAAAATAAAAATGTTGAAATATCAGGGTTATTACTGATTGCAGCTTTGACTTTCATGCTATAGCCAAAGCTTTCTACTACTAAAAAGTCAGTCTTTTGAAAGAACTATACTTCTCCCTCAGAGAAATTATAATGATATTATTATATGTATAATCTAAAAAATGGCCATGTTTTAAGGAAATATGGTTGTTAGATTACAGAGCTCAATTACATTTTTGGTAGCTCATATGACAACAGTGGATAAACAAAAGGAAAAGTTGAGAAGTGAAGGTAAAAGATGATAACCTTAAGACAAAACAGAAAATGGACATCAGAAAAACTTAGAAAAGGGGCAAGACAAACAAATCCCAATGACAACAGGTAATTCCACGACGAAAACCTTAGTATTTTTGAGATACTCAGAGTTTCAACTTAAAATGAAGCTCCGTGGTTGGACTTCTGGTCAAATTGCAAATAATTAAACCAATTTCTAAAAATGTTTTTATTAGAACAAAGAAATTGAGAGAAATCAGATATGATGACATTGTTGAGAAAGCACTTTTGAAAACAGTTCCTCTACTATCTCTGGTCCATGTTAAACATAAAATGTACAAGCCATTTTTAAAGGCTCATTTACACGGGATCTGCTGCCTATTAGTAAAGTCAGCACAAGACTGAGACATTTACTAAATTACTAAAATTTTATAAAAGATTAGCTTTCTTACTCCATGTTTCTTCCCATAATTGTAAAATTGACTTTTCATGGTAAATTGTACTAGAGGTTAACACAATTTTGAAAATGGTTCCTTTGAGAAAAAAAATCAATTGTCAAAATCCAATTTACCCACTTAAAATCTCTAATAATAAACTCTAAATGCCCACCAATGCAGAAAGCACCTCCAATCCAAGATCAGGAAACATTAAAAACAAAACCTACTGCAGCAATCTGATCATCAAATTCTTAAGAAATGAGTCTAAAACTCATTTTTATAGACAAATTCAAATAATTAACCTAGAACTTAAAACTATTTCATGATATGGTTTTTTTTTTCTGAGACAGAGTCTCACTTTGTTGCCCGGGCTAGAGTGCTGTGGCGTCAGTGTAGCTCACACCAACCTCAAACTCCTGGGCTCAAGCGATCCTCCTGCCTCAGCCTCCCGAGTAGCTGGGACTACAGGCATGCGCCACCATGCCCGGCTAATTTTTTCTATATATTTTTAGTTGTCCGATTAATTTCTTTCTATTTTTGGTAGAGATGGGGTCTCGCTCTTGCTCAGGCTGGTCTCGAACTCCTGAGCTCAAACAATCTGCCCGCCTCAGCCTCCCAGAGTGCTAGGATTATAGGCGTGAGCCACCATGCCTGGCCCATGATACAGTTTTAAATAGTCTTAAACAGATACTATACCTATGTTAAAATTGTTACTAGTTAATATTCTATCTCCCATTCCATGAGTATCTGATATCCTTTATTGGATTTATTTCTTCTCCAATTAAGAACTAGAATATTTCTAAATATTTCCGAAAATGACAGAAGTCTGATACATGACACACCCTGAAAATTCATGGAGAACACAAGCAAATGGTTGTCCCAGATCTAGATTTCTTCCTACACAAAATAAAGATTATCTATAAGCCCTTAGTCATTCTTTCAGAGGGTTATTCATAGAAATTAATAAAACGAGCACAAGCCAACTTTAGTGCTTTAGAAGGCATTATAGGAAAAAATAAAAAGACCATCAGCTTCTAAATTTAAAATTAAAATTCTGTCTTAAAGGTATCTACTACTATCATATGGATCTTTAGCTATGTTCTCAATTGTGTGAAATAATTACTTCTTAAAAACAACTAATCTTGGCTGGGCGCGGTGGCTCACGCCTGTAATCCTAGCTCTCTGGGAGGCTGAGGCGGGCAGATTGTTTGAGCTCAGGAGTTCGAAACCAGCAAGAGCAAGACCCCATCTCTACTAAAAATTAGAAAGAAATTAATAGGACAACTAAAAAAAATATATATAGAAAAAAATTAGCCGGGCATGGTGGCACATGCCTGTAGTCCCCAGCTACTCGGGAGGATGAGGCAGGAAGGATAGCTTGAGCTCAGGAGTTTGAGGCTGCTGTGAGCTAGGCTGACGCCACGGCATCTACCCCAGGCAACACAGTGAGACTCTGTCTCAAAAAAAAAAAAAAAAAAAAAAAAACAACAACAAAAAACAACTAATCTTGGGCCCTGCGCAGTGGCTCACACCTGTAATCCCTGCACTACGGGAGGCCGAGGTGGGTGGATTGCTTCAGGTCAGGAGTTCGAGACCAGCCCGAGCAAGAGCAAGACCCCGTCTCTACTAAAAATAGAAAGAAATTAGCCAGACAACTAAAAATATATAGAAAAAATTAGCCAGGCATGGTGGTGCATGCCTGTAGTCCCAGCTACTCATGAGGCTGAGACAGGAGGACTGCTTGAGCCCGTGAGTTTGAGGTTGCTGTGAGCTAGGCTAATGCCAAGTCACTCTAGCCCAGGCAAAAGAGTAAGACTCTGTCCCCAAAAAATAAATAAAAACAACTAATCTTAAAGTGGTTTTTTGATAACACCTATAAAATCATAAAAGATGGCATGTGGTACAACCATAAAAGTAGAGTTACTTAGGGAAAAAATATCTTCATGCTGACATTGTTTTAACCCTTTGATCTCACATATATAAAATGTGAGCACAGTGGCTCATGCCTGTAATCCTACCACTCTGGGAGGCCATGGTGGGAGGATCGTTTGAGGCAGGAGTTCAAGACCAGCCTGGGCAACATAGTGAGACCCAGTCTCTACAAAAAAACAAAAACAAAACAAAAAAGCCGGACATGGTGGCATGTACCTATAATAATCCCAGCTACTCAGGAGGCTCAGCAGAAAGATTGCTCAAGCCCAGGAGTACAGCTATGACTGTGCCACTGGCACTAGAGCCTGGGCAACAGAACAAAACCCCAAACAAACGTAAGCAACAGCTAAAAAAACTATAGTTTTTTTTATAATATTTTCCTCTTCTGAATGATAATCACACATAAAAAGGTGGTGAGAAATTTTCAGATTTGCCAAATGTTCTATTATGCCAAACACCCTTATGATTAACTTATTCACGTGAAAATAAACTGAATATTGTTTAAGGGAGCAGTCAGCAAAACTAATTTAGTAAAAATGTCTTAATCATGTCACTGATAGATGGCAGGGATAGTATGCTATCAGTAATTTCAAAGTGGCATCATTTGGAAAGGTAGCTTCTT